CCCCAAAACCCCAAAACCCCAAAACCCCTTTATTTTACACTGCTGTTGAATAGCTTAAAATATTTACTCACCATCACCATCTAATGGCTGATCGCCCATAGAAGGTTGTTGAACAGGAGTACTAAGGGTCTTACTAAGCTCTTGTTGGACATCAACCTTCATTTTATCTCTTATATCTTGCATTTTCTTCTCCTCTAGCTCCTTTTTCCTCCTCTCAAAGTCCCTCTTCTTCTCTCTTATCTTTTTCTTAGTCTGAAGTAGTTCATATTCTCTCTGGAAGATATCTAGTTCTTTCTCGATATAATCTGGGAAAAAGGATGCAAAGAAGTAGTAAATAAGGCCTTTGATGGTCTCAGGCCAGGAATACTTTCTCTCGAGCTCCTCTTCGTCCCACGAAGGTTTACAGGCATTGGCTTTGATACGTTCATGGACTGCCTGCTCTCTCACCCTGGCTTCTCTTTGTGACTCGCTCTCATATGGGATATTAAGCTCTCTTAATTTCTTATCACAGAAGGCATTTATGTTCTTTTTCACTTCAAAATATAAGTAAGGCAATGCCACTAGGACGAGGGAGAACATAAATGTGGTATTAGCATTATTAAACATCATGAAGAGAAACACAAACAAGAAGGTACACGAATGAGGGAAGTATATTGACCTTGGAAGAGTAATCTTTTTCATATTCTCCTTCTTTCTCTCTTCAACCTTCTTGGCCTCCTCTTCTTTCTTTTGCTCATCATGATGGTCTGAGATAACCTTCATAGCTTTAAAGATAGAAGAGTTTGGCTCTTCTTTAGCAGGAGGAGTCATATTTGGATCAATAATATAAAGCGTAATGGGTGATTCCTTCCAATTCTTCTTAAGCAGTTCATCCATACTATCGCCATCATGTACTGACTTTGCTGAAATAACCAGCTTCATAGTCTTCAGCTCAGGTTTACAAGGATGGTGCTTCATCAGATGGCATTTGAGGTCGATGCCAACCCAGCTCCTTGGCACCTTAAGTATGCAAGTATGTTTCAATGCTTTGATAGTGACTTCTGCATATTCCTCATCGGTTAGATCCTCACAGTGGGCTTCACCTAATCTTTCCAGTGCTACGTGTTGAGTCTCCATTAATTAATTATTTTTATGAGAGTTTGGAAAATGGGGTTTTGGGGTTTTGGGGTTTTGGGGTTTTGGGGTTTTGGGG